TGTTTGGATTTATTTTAAAGGATTTTTAATTTCCTACAACTCAATAAACATAGTATCGCGAAACGACCAATTTTAACTTTCACTTCCCGATTATAATTCATGGAATTATTGTAATTTTTTTTGTAAAATTTTTGAAAATGCTTTATAATGAGTTCAAACTCGATGGGGTAATTTTAAAAAACAACCGAGATATCACGATTTTAAAATTATTTTGACAGTTGATCGTCGATTGTTTGAGAATTAATTTTTTGTTTATAACTATCTTATTGTTAAAGATAACCCCACCGAGTTTGGATTCATTTTAAAGGATTTTTAATTTTCTACAATCAGGACACAACGACAATGCGAAATAACCCATTTTTCCAATCACTTCCGGTTTCTACATCGATGAATTTTGAAGATAAACATTTTTGTTTTATTAATTCTTTAATAATCAAAGCAAAAAAATCGTTGAGTTCATGAATTATAATATTATTTGTGAAAAAGTTATATAAAAAATTAATCAAATTAAAATCAAAATTTTTTTAATTTTGAATAAAATTTCGTAATCTAGATTAAAAATGCTTTAAAATGAGTCCAAACACGATGGGGTTATCTTTAAAAACAACCAAGATACGATTGTTTTAAAAATATTTTGACAGGTGATTTTCAACTGTTTTAATTCATTTTTAGTTTGTAACTTTTTTATTTTTTAAGATAACCCCATCGTGTTTGCACTCATTTTAAAGCATTTTTAATTCCCTACATCCCGGTGACCATAGCAACACGAAATAACCAATTTTTGCATTCACTTCCGGTTTGTATATCGAGTAATTTTTAAAATAAAACATAACCCAGTCGTGTTTGGACTCATATTAAAGGATTTTTAATTAAGATTGTGATTTTTTAAACAAATTCAATTTATTTTTTGTTTCAAAGTGTCATTCAATCTTTCAAGATGGCGGAGGAAATTTGATATGATTTATGAAGTAAAATTCGTAATCTGGATCAAAAACGCTTTAAAATGAGTCCAAACACGATGGGATTACCTTTAAAAAGAACTTAGATATGATTGTTTTAAAAATATTTTGGCAGGCGATCTTCAATTGTTTCCCGATTTATCTGTGAGGATATCTCAGTTATTTATTGACGTAAATAGGTCGTGTTTGGACTCATTTTAAAGCATTTTTAATTCCCCACAACCAGAAAACAATAACAACCCAAAATAAACAGTTTTCACTATCACTTCCGGTTTCTAAATCGAGAAATTTTGGAGATAAATATTATTGTTTTATTAATTCTTTAATAATTGAAGATAATATTATAAAAAAATTAATGAAATAAATTATTTCTGATAAAGTTATATAAAAAAATAATCAAATTTTTTTAAATATGAATAGAAATTCGTAATGTAGATTGAAAACGCTTTAAAATGAATCCAAACACGATGAAGTTATCTTTAATAACAACCAAGATACGATTATTTTAAAAATATTTTGACAGGTGATTCTCAATTGTTTTAATTCATTTTTAGTTTGTAACTTTTTTGTTTTTCAAGATAATCCCATCGTGTTTGGACTCATTTTAAAGCATTTTTAATTCCCTGCATCCCGGTAACCATAGCAACACGAAATAACCAATTTTTGCATTCACTTCCGGTTTGTATATCGAGTAATTTTTGAAATAAAACGTAACTCAGTCGTGTTTGGACTCATATTAAAGCATTTTTCATTAAGATTGTGATTTTTTAAATAAATTCAATTTTTTTTTTATTTCAAAGTGTCATTCAATCTTCCAAGATGGCGGAGGAAATTTGAAATTTTATGTTTTTATTTTAATATTAATAATCGATAGGCAATAAAACATCGAAATTCGATTAAACCAATAAAATTATTATAAAATAGAAAAATCAAAAATTTTTTTTATAATTTATGAAGTAAAATTCGTAATCTGGATCAAAAACGCTTTAAAATGAGTCCAAACACGATGGGATTACCTTTAAAAACAACCAAGATACGATTGTTTTAAAAATATTTTGACAGGTGATTCTCAATTGTTTTAATTCATTTTTAGTTTGTAACTTTTTTATTTTTTAAGATAACCTCATCGTGTTTGGGCTCATTTTAAAGCATTTTTAATTCCCTACATCCCGGTAACCATAGCAACACGAAATAACCAATTTTTGCATTCACTTCCGGTTTGTATATCCAGTAATTTTTTAAATAAAACGTATCCCAGTCGTGTTTGGACTCATATTAAAGGATTTTTCATTAAGATTATGATTTTTTAAACAAACTCAATTTATCTTTTATTTCAAAGTGTCATTCAATATTCCAAGATGGCGGAGGAAATTTGAAATTTTATGTTTTTATTTTAATATTAATCGTAATCTGGATCAAAAACGCTTTAAAATGAGTCCAATCACGATGGGATTACCTTTAAAAAGAACTTAGATATGATTGTTTTAAAAATATTTTGACAGGCGATCTTCAATTGTTTCTCGATTTATCTGTGAGGATATCTCAGTTATTTTTTGACGTAAATAGGTCGTGTTTGGACTCATTTTAAAGCATTTTTAATTCCCCACAACCAGAAAACAATAACAGCCCAAAATAAACAGTTTTCACGATCACTTCCGGTTTCTAAATCGAGAAATTTTTGAGATAAATGTTTTTATCTTATTAATTCTTTAATAATTGAAGATGATATTAGAGAAAAATCAAAAAATTAATGAAATAAATTATTTTTGAAAAAGTTATATAAAAAATTAATCAAACATTTTTTTAAATATAAATATAAATTCGTAATGTAGATTGAAAATGCTTTAAAATGAATCCAAACACGATGAGGTTATCTTTAAAAACAACTAAGATATGATTGTTTTAAAAATATTTTGACAGGTGATTCTCAATTGTTTGAATTCATTTTTAGTTTGTAACTTTTTTGTTTTTTAAGATAACCCCATCGTGTTTGGATTCATTTTAAAGCATTTTTAATTTCCTACACGATTTTATTAAAAAATATTTATGTTTAATAGACAAAATTTTAAGCAAAACATTTTCTAGTCGTTATTTACTATATTTGCTGTGACATAACCACACTTTTTTTCATTTTTAACGAGAAATGTATCAAGTTTGGTATTAAATTTCATCATTTTTAATTTTATTTAAGATTATCGACAAAAATATTCGATTAAAATCAAATTTAGGAAATTAATAATTAACAAATACTTCGAATTTCGATTAAATCGACTTGTAGTAAACGAAAAATGCTTTAAAAGGAGTCCAAACACGCTGGGGTTATTTCAAAAGGCAACTCAAATAAGGTTATTTTAAAAATATTTTGACAGGTGATTCTCAATTGTTTTAATACATTTTTAGTTTGTAACTTTTTTATTTATTCAGAGAACCCCAACGTGTCTGGACTCATTTTAAAGGATTTTTAATTCCCTACAACCCGAAAACGACGGCAACCCAAAATAACCATTTTTATGATCACTTCCGGTTTCTAAATCGAAAAATTTTTGAGATAAATATTTTTGTTTTATTAATTCTTTAATAATGAAAGATAATACAAGGGAAACAATCAGAATTCGTGAATTAAATTATTTTTAAAAATGTTATATAAAAAAATTAATCAAAATTTTTTAAATTTTCAATAAAATTTTGTAATCTAGATTAAAAATGCTTTAAAATGAGTCCAAACTCGATGGGGTTATCTTTAAAAACAAGCAAGATATGATTGTTTTAAAAATACTTTGACAGATGATTCTCAATTGTTTTAATTCACTTTTAGTTTGTAACTTTTTTGTTTTTTAAGATAACCCCATCGTGTTTGGACTCATTTTAAAGGATTTTTAATTCCCTACAAACCGAAAACAACGACAACCCAAAATAACCATTTTTACGACCACTTCCGGTTTCTAAATCGAGAAATTTTTGAGATAAACATTTTTGTTTTATTAATTCTTTAATAATTGAAGATGATATTAGAGAAAAATAAAAAAATTAATGAAATAAATTATTTCTGAAAAAGTTATATAAAAAATTAATCAAAAATTTTTTTAAATATGAATAATAATTCGTAATGTAGATTGAAAATGCTTTAAAATGAATCCAAACACGTTAAGGTTATCTTTAAAAACAACCAAGATATGATTGTTTTAAAAATATTTTGACAGGTGATTCTCAATTGTTTTAATCCATTTTTAGTTTGTAACTTTTTTATTTTTTAAGATAACCCCATCGTGTTTGGGCTCATTTTAAAGCATTTTTAATTCCCTACATCTCGGTAACCATAACAACACGAAATAACCAATTTTTGTATTCACTTCCGGTTTGTATATCGAGTAATTTTTGAAATAAAACATAACCCAGTCGTGTTTGGACTCATATTAAAGGATTTTTCATTAAGATTGTGATTTTTTAAACAAATTTAATTAATTTTTTATTTCAAAGTGTCACTCAATCTTCCAAGATGGCGGAGGAAATTTGAAATTTTATGTTTTTATTTTAATATTAATAATCGATAGGCAATAAAGCATCGGGATTCGATTAAACCAATAAAATTATTGTAAAAAAATTAAAAAATCAAAAATTTCTTTTTATGATTTATGAAGCAAAATTCGTAATCTAGATCAAAAACGCTTTGAAATGAGTCCAAACACGATGGGATTACCTTTAAAAACAACTTAGATATGATTAATTTAAAAATATTTTGACACGCGATTTTCAATTGTTTCCCAATTTATTTTTGATGATATCTCAGTTATTTTTTGACGTAAACAGGTCGTGTTTGGACTCATTTTAAAGCATTTTTCATTAGGATTACGAATTTTTAATCGTATTAGTCATTTAAAAAATTCGACAATTATTATCTTGATTTAATTAGACTTTTGAATTTAAATAATTCATCAGCGCCAGCTTTGTATTAAATTTGAAATTATTTAGTCGAGTTTCAAACCGATTTGTTGGAACTAAACTGCCACTAGATGTCGTTAGGGGCCAAATAAATCAATTTAATTCGTAAACAATTATATTTTATTAATTATTACCCCCAAAATGAAACATGTTCCACCTAATTTTCGTTTTTACATAAATTCATCACCATTTTAGCACCCCGGGGATGTATTTGTTGATTAATTCTTGGTAATAAGGCCATAAACGGTGAATATCCGGGATGGTTTCGCTTTTTGTATATAAGTCGTATTGGCTAAAATTAATTTTGATTAATTTTTGTTTGTTTATTAATTAATTGTAATTTTTTTACTTAAACAGTAAAACCCATTTTTTCATCTCCTCATCGTCTTTATCGGTTAAATGTTTATAATCACCCCCTGCATGCCATGGGTAAAAGCTATGGTATCGAATCATATAAAGCGCCTCTTTCGGCAATTTCGATTTGTTATGCTTTAAAACTTGATAAAGATACTCGTCGTGTCCCCATGATAACGAGACGTTTTTTAATCCGCAATTTTGGGTGTATATCCCATATTTAGTGCTAAATAAAATCAATTATAATTTTAAATTTAGCTATTTATAACTTATATTACTTATATTTGTGGTTTTTCCCATCTGGGTTCTCATCGAACGAATTTTCTCTATAAACGACACTTTTTCCCCATTCACAACCAACGACGAAAGTATCCCCAACGACGGCCCATTGGGGTTCGTCGTAAAACGCCATAACCTTCCCTAAATCGTGGATTAATCCGGTTAAATGGAACCAATCCAAATCCGGGTAATCTTCCCGGATTTTTTCGGCCGTTTGAAACGCGTGAATTCTATTCGGGATGTTCACATCGGGGTCGCTTTCATCAACGAGGTCGTTTAACTTCTCCAAAGCGGCCCTAATTGTTGATGTGAAATGATTAAATTTTAACCACTTCTCCTTTTTTGCTTAAAAAAAATTTAAAAAAAATTAATTAATTAAAAAAAAAAAAATTGGGCTCAACCGGGATTTGAACCCGGGACCTCTCGCACCCAAAGCGAGAATCATACCCCTAGACCATTGAGCCGCTATACATATATATATAAAACTTAAATTATTTAATTTTTATTTATTTATTTTCAGATTTACCTCGGACGAAATCAACAGTTTGAAAGGTATGCATTAATTTGTAAGTTCTTTTAACCCGTTCTTTAATCGGATCATTTTCGTCGTCCTCGTAATTTCGAAATTGCGAAATCGGCTTTTTCGCGAATTTCGCTTCCGGTCTTAACAATTCGGATGGATCACTCTTAAATTTTTTTCGAATTATTATTACAAATTAAAAAAAAAATAAATCGCATAAACTCACCAAAAGCTTCATCTCGATTCGTCTTAAATCGAAATCTTAATAACAAAACGACGTTTCGAATGTTTTCGTACGAAATGGAGTTGCACAAACGATTTCGTCTACTTATAAACAAACGCGAATTAAATAAACGATTGCGTTATCAATAATAACGAAACGGGTTTTTATTTTGTTTTTTTTTTTTTCGTCTTCTTCTTCATTTCGCATTTTGGTCGTTTGATAACGCAGAATTAAATGGAAAACGAGATTAATCAAAACTAAGTTAATGGCATTCGAGATAAAACGTTAATTAAGAGTGATTCTTGAATGTAAATATTTTCATTAATGAATTGATTCTATTTTAGAATCGATTTTATCGTGTGACGAATTAAAAGTGCTTTAAAATGAGCCCAAACTCGACGGGGGTATCTTAAAGAATAAAAAAGCTTAATTAAAAAAAAAAACAATCGATAATCACCTGTCAAAATATTTTTAAAATCGCGTAGGAAATTAAAAATGCTCTAAAATGAGTCCAAACACGACATATTTACGTCAAAAAATAACCGAGATATCCTCAAAAATAAATTGGGAAACAATTGAAAATCGCCTGTCAAAATATTTTTAAATTGATCATATCTAAGTTGTTTTTAAAGGTAATCCCATCGTGTTTGGACTCATTTTAAAGGGGATTTGGTCTAGATCACGAATTTTTCTTCGAAAATCATAAAAAAAAATTTAAATTTAAAATTTCCACCGCCATCTTGGAAGATTGAATGAACTTGTTTAAAAAAATCATAGTATTAATGAAAAATCCTATAAGAGTGCAAACACGACTAGATTATATTTTATTTCAAAAATTACTCGATATATAAACCGGAAATGAATGCAAAAATTGGTTATTTCGTGTTGATATGGTTACCGGGATGTAGGGAATTAAAAATGCTTTAAAATGAGTCCAAACACGATGGGGTTATCTTAAAAAATAACAAAGTTACAAACTAAAAATGGATTAAAACAATTGACAATCACCTGTCAAAATGTTTTTAAAACAATCATATCTTGGTTGTTTTTAAAGATAACCTCATCGTGTTTGGATTCATTTTAAAGCATTTTCAATCTACATTACGAATTTTTATTCATATTTAAAAAAATTTTTGATTTATTTTTCATATAACTTTTTCGGAAATAATTTATTTCATTAATTTTTTGATTTTCCTCTAATATTATCTTCATTTATTAAAGAATTAATAAAACAAAAATATTTATCTCAAAAATTTCTCGATTTACAAACCGGAAGTGATCGGGAAAACTGTTTATTTTGGGTTGTTATTGTTTTCTGGTTGTGGGGAATTAAAAATGCTTTAAAATGAGTCCAAACATGACTTATTTACGTCAAAAATTAACTGAGATATCCTCACAAATAAATCGGGAAACAATTGAAGATCGCCTGTCAAAATATTTTTAAAACAATCATATCTAAGTTATTTTTAAAGGTAATCGTATCGTGTTTGGACTCATTTTAAAGCGTTTTTGATCTAGATTACGAATTTTTGCTTCACAAATCATAAAAAGAAATTTTTGTTTTTTTAACTTTTTTACAATAATTTTATTGATTTTATCGAATTTCGATGCTTTATTGTCTCTCGATTATTAATATTAAAATAAAAACATAAAATTTCAAATTTCCGCCACCATCTTGGAAGATTAATTGACACTTTGAATATCAAATTAAATTGTTTTTGTTTAAAAAATGATAATCTTAATGAAAAATCCTTTAATATGAGTCCAAACACGGCTAGGTTATATTTTATTTCAAAAATTACTCGATATACAAACCGGAAGTGATTGAAAAAATTTGTTATTTCGTGTTGATATGGTTACTGGGTTGTAGGGAATTTAAAATCCTTTAAAATGAACCCAAACACGATGGGGTTATCTTAAAAAATAAAAAAGTTACAAACTAAAAATGGATTAAAACAATTGAGAATCACCTGTCAAAATATTTTTAAAACAATCGTATCTTGGTTGTTTTTAGAGATAACCTCATCGTGTTTGGATTCATTTTAAAGCATTTTCAATCTGCATTACGAATTTTTATTCATATTTAAAAAAATTTTGGATTAATTTTTTATATAACTTTTTCAGAAATAATTTATTTCATTAATTTTTTGATTTTTCTCTAATATTATCATCAATTATTAAAGAATTAATAAAACAAAAATATTTACCTCAAAGATTTCTCGATTTCGAAACCGGAAGTGATCGTAAAAATGGTTATTTTGGGTTGTCGTTGTTTTCGGTTTGTAGGAAATTAAAAATCCTTTAAAATGAGTCCAAACACGATGAGGTTATCTCAAAAAATAACAAAGTTACTCAAAAATTAAAAAAAAAACAATTGAAAATCACCTGTCAAAATATTTTTAAAACAATCATATCTTAGTTGTTTTTAAAGATAACCTCATCGTGTTTGGACTCATTTTAAAGCATTTTGAATCTAAATTACGAATTTTTATTCATAATTAAAAAAGTTTTTGTTTTGATTTGATAAATTTTTATATAACTTATTCGTAAATAATTTAATTCACGAATTCTGATTGTTTTCCTTGTATTATCTTTCATTATTAAAGAATTAATAAAACAATAATATTTATCTCAAAAATTTCTCGATTTAGAAACCGGAAGTGATCGTAAAAATGGTTATTTTGGGTTGTCGTTGTTTTCAGGTTGTAGGGAATTAAAAATCCTTTAAAATGAGTCCAAACACGATGGGGTTATCTTAAAAAACAAAAAAGTTACAAACTAAAAATGAATAAAAAACAATTGAGAATCACCTGTCAAAATATTTTTAAAATAATCGTACCTTAGTTGTTTTTAAAGATAACCTCATCGTGTTTGGACTCATTTTAAAGCATTTTTAATCTAGATTACGAATTTTTATTCATAACTAAAAAAATTTTTGTTTTGATTTGATAAATTTTTATATAACTTTTTCGTAAATAATTTAATTCACGAACTCTTCGATCATTTCCCTTGTATTATCTTTTATTATTAAAGAATTCATAAAATAAAAATATTTTTCTTACAAATTTTTCGATTTAGAAACCAGAAGTGATCGTAAAAAGATATTACTTTGGGTTGCTATTGTTTTCGAGTTGTGGGGGATTAAAAATCCTTTAAAATGAGTCCAAACACGATAGGGTTATCTTAATAAATAAAAAAGTTATAAACTAAAGATGTATTAAAACAATTGAGAATCACCTGTCAAAATGTTTTTAAAACAATCATATCTTAGTTGTTTTTAAAGATAACCCCATCGTGTTTGGACTCATTTTAAAGCATTTTTAATCTAGATTACGAAATTTTGTACATAATTTAATAAATTTTGATTTAAATTTGATTAATTTTTTATACGGTGTGTCCGTAAAGTAACGGATATAGGCGATAAAATCATCGTAAGCGGTTTATGGAAAAATCCCTGAAACGGGTTTAAAGATTATACCGAACATTACTATTAATATTTATGTCAGTTTTCTTTAGTTCTTTCTGTAGAAGTGATCGTAAAAATGGTTATTTTGGGTTGCTGTTGTTTTCGGGTTGTAGGGAATTAAAAATCCTTTAAAATGAGTCCAAACACGATGGGGTTATCTTAAAAAATAGCAAAGTTATAAAAGAAAATTAAATCAAAAACAAACAAAAATCGGCTGTCAAAATATTTTTTAAATCAACATATGTCGGTTGTTTTTGAAGATAACCCCATCGTGTTTGGACTCGTTTTAAAGGATTTTTCATCCTCTACAAAATAAATGCAACTTTTTATAAAGAATTTGATATATATATATATAGTACTTGCACCATTTTAATCACAAATTCAGATTCGGTTCGAAATCGCAACGTGGGGTTATTTGCAACAACAACAAAGGACATCGAAAAACACGACTCTTTTATTTCAAAAATAAACAAACCGGAAGTGACCGGAAAAATTGGTTGTTTTAGGTTATTATGATTATTACCGGGTTGTAGGAAATTAAAAATCCTGTAAAATGAGTCCAAACACGATGGGGTTATCTTAAAAAATAGCAAAGTTATAAAAGAAAATTAAATCAAAAACAAACGAAAATCGGCTGTCAAAATATTTTTTAAATCAACATATCTCGGTTGTTTTTAAAGATAACCCAATCGTGTTTGGACTCATTTTAAAGCATTTTTAATGATGATTAAGAATTATTTAATAATTTTTTTATAAAAAAAAAATTTTTTAATCAAACTAATTTTTTTTTTATTAAATTATAAAATTTAACGAAAACTAGAATTAAAAATCGGCCTTATCTCCGGATCATTTCGCGTTATTAGATTTTAATTATGCACACCGCCTCCGGAGGTTCATAAAAGAGACGAAGAAAAAAGCTTCCGGAATTCGTTTTTATTTTTCATCGTTCTTTTTCGTTTAGTTTTATTTTTTTTTTTGTATTTTTCGCTTCAGAACCGGCGACTATTAAATTTTTAATCGCGAACTTTCGCCGAGAGTTCACGTCCACTTTCCATCCTCCTTTTTCCTCGTTTTTTTTTTTTGACATTTTTTATTATTTTTTATTCGTTTCAAAAAAAATTTTTAAATTTACTTGGTGCAATTTAATTATTCACGCGATTTCCTCCAATTCTCTAATGTTTATTTTGTCGAAACGTTCAAAACCTAACCTCACTTCCCCACCGTACCGTTGTTCCATTCGCTCTTCATCCGGAAACGTTTGTTTCCGATGGAAATTGGATGAAGTACCGTTTCGATGTTCGTTGAAACGACGCCCTACAGAACCGAACCGGCCCTTTTTGTTTTGTTAACAAACAAAGCCAAACGTTTCGTCCAGTCGTCTCTCTATGTGTTTGTATTCACCACCTGTAAAATACATAATAGATTAACACAATTCAACTACTATTAAAAAAAACGAAAATAAATAAATAAATAAAGGGGGGGAAATAAACTAACTGTTATTTGGGCGATAAATTCTACTTTAAATTGCGTTTAAACATTTTTTTTTAAATTTTTGTTGCGCTACATTTTCGTTTTTTGGTGTTGTTAACTTGTTAGTTAACAATTTGTAAATACACGGGCGCGCCGGAACGAAAATGTTGTTGATGCGTTCGAAAGG